TATTGTCTTGATAAACATCTTAAAAAACAGAAAACTTCGAGAGCAGAGAACTGCTCTGACCTCAAATTCACCACGGTGGAGTTTCTTCCCCAACCTAATAAGCCTGAGGGTACTGCAGGAGACCAGGGCGTATTTCAGTCCTTATCTCAACCGCATAAGACTGACACTCCCAGAGCGGCTGTTTATAGACCTCCCCCTGGGAATGCATTCCTTTCCCAGGGTCTTAATTATTAATATTCCTTGCTAGGAAAAGAATTCAGCAATATCTTCCCTACTTGCACGTCCGTTTACAGGCTGTCTGCAAGAAGAAAAATATGACTCTTTTTGCCCGGCTCTGCAGGCAGTCAGATCTTATGGTTGTCTTCCCATGTTCCCTAAAATTGCTGTTATTCTGTTCATTTTCAAGGTGCACTGATTTCATATTGTTCAAACACACGTTTTACAATCAGATTTCATATTGTTCAAACACAGATGTTTTATAATCAATTTGTACAGTTAACGCAATCATCACAGGGTCCTGAGGTGATGTACATCCTCAGCTTACAAAGATAACAGGATTAAGAGATCTTATACCTAAAGTAAGATAGGTGTAAGAAATTATAAAAGTATTAATAGGAAAGTGATAAATGTCCATGAAATCTTCACAATTTATGTTCCTCTGCCACAGCTCCAGCTGGTCCATCTGTTCGGGGTCCCTGACTTCCTGCAACAAGATGATAAAAGAAAGCTGGGCCAGCTGGGTGCAGTGGCTCATGGCTGTAATCCCGGCACTTTGGGAGGCTGAGGTGCAAGGATTACCTGAGCTCAGGAGTTCAAGATCAGCCTGGGCAACGTGGTGAAACCCCATCTCCACTAAAATCCAAAAAAAAAGAAAGCTAGACCACCACAGAGTTCCCCAAGCCATCCCAAAAATTAGAAATGGAAGAGTAGGGAAGTCATTGTTACTCTATTGATATTATCAATCCCCTTTAAAGAGCCTATTGAGAAAAAGGAAACTAATAATCTGGTGAAAGAGGTAAAAAGAAAAAACAGACGTTGGGTGTCCACAAGTTACCCTTGCTCACTGTGCCTCAAGCCACAGGTCTTAAGGCCCCCACTGTAGGGGTTGAAAGTTCTCAGCCCAGTAGATGCCCTGAGCACCCCCAGGAACGGGAGAATAGGGAAGGATGTTCTAAAGTAACAGAAGTAAAATGACTTTTGTTCCTGCAACCATTTCCCACGGAACACTAGCCTTCCAGTACACAGACTCTCAGACTCAGAAATTAACAAAACAAACAAAAATCCCCCCAAAAAAAGAAATTACAGAGAAGCAAGCACCCCCACAGATCCTTGTGCCATGATAAATTAGTTATCTAAGGAACACAAGCAGTTAAAAGTCAGGCACGCATCCTGTCAGTATTCTGCAGGGATCTAGTTTTGCTGAAAAACTTACTTTTCACAATATACCTCAAACCTGTCAGCAGTAATTACCTGAGAATCAGAAAGGTGACATTTTAAATTTTAGTGACACATTAATGAACAAGATAATCCTCTTGACAGATACAGAGCAAGATTCACCACAGGAAGCAAAGCAAGGGCTCCTCAGATCAAAATGTAAGCCATATAACTGGCCTTGGCAGGCCCAGCGCACAACAAAGTTGCATTTCAGATCATTGCAGCCCTTTCAGACCCCTCACAGCCACTGACATGTTTACTACTTTTATTTTCCCTGGCAGATGTTTGGCAGACACCTCATCTCAGAAGATTCGTGCCTTTGTCTCAGAGTCAAGGGTTAATAGGACCCTTAACTGTGGTCTCAGTTATAATAAGGTCCTGCTTTTTTAAAAAGAAATGCTTTCTACAAGCTTAGTAATTGGTCTTCCCATTTGAGATTATATAATCTCCAAGTCAAAGTACAAAGTTAGAACATGAAGGGAAATGGACAGGACCCTGTACCCAGACACTGTCTGTGGCATCTGTGGCTGGTCCCAAAGCCAGTGAGAGGAAGGTGGGTGCTGGGATCAGTGCTTCCAGGTGGCTGTTCCCAGACCCCTTCAGGGGCCTCCTGGTGGCCAGGGCCCCTGCAGACAGCTTGAGCAGTAACTAAGCTCAGGGGTGCTGGTAAGAGCTGAATTTTATCCCTGAAAAACTCATACGTTGAGGTTTTATCCCCTAGCACCTCAGAATGTGACCTCACTTGGAAATAGGGTGATTATGGATGTAATTAGTTGAGATGAGGTCATTAGGGTGGGCCTGAATCCAGTACATCTGGTGTCCTTCCAAAAAGGGACGATTTGGACACAGAGACACACACAGCAGGGAGAATGCCGTGTGAAGGCAGCAGAGGTCAGGCTGCTGTGTCTGCAAGCCACGGAATACCAAAGACAGCCAGAGAAACACCAGAAGCTGCGGAGGCCTGGGACAGTCTCCCTCCAGTCCTCAGAAGGAAGAAAACCTTCTGACACCCTGACCTTGAACCTCCAGCCTCCAGAATCATGAAAGAATAATTTTCTGTGGTTTAAGCCCCCAGTGTGTGTTGCTTTGTAAACATTATGTAAATTCCCAATAACTAGCCAGGTCGCCATCAGTACTAACCTTCAGCCTCACGTGAACGAGACTCTTCTTAAACTTACAGCACATTCTTTTTCTTTAGTCTACTCTGCCAACCCACCTGCTCTTCTAATATTCTGAATCTTCTCCTTTCATTTTCTACAACATTAATCTATATTTCAGCTAAGGTACTATAGTGCCTGAATGCCAAATAAAAAGAAAAATGAGTGATCCTGAAATATAACATTTTCTTGACTTCAGGTCATAGGTTTATAAAGCATTCTGATTCTAGAGAATAAAAAGGAAAAACTACAGAAAACAAGGAAGTGAGGGAAAATGTAAGGAAATTATAAACGAGTGGCTTCTTCACCGACTGATCCTCATTAAAAGGGAAAATTGAGCTGCCATCGATTGATGGTTCTGTTAAAATTCAAAACAGTGGTTCTCAAAATACAGCCCCCAGACCTATGTGGTCTGGGAGAGGTTCTCAAAATGTGGTCCCCAAAGTCCTGTGGCTTTGTCATCTGCACCTGCACATCCATCTTTCCCCAAACATGCTCTCCAGAAAGCCATTTCCATCAATAGCCAATTCTCAGGCTCCTCCCCAACCCTACTAAATCAGCACAGTGGGATCCTGTACCTGTGTTAGGACAAGTCTTCTGGGTATTTGCACTAAATGAGAGAAACACTCCTGTACTCAAAGCAAGGAGGCAATGTGATTCCACCTGACAGCAAATTCAGCCAACAGTCACTGCCCCAGGGTACTATGTTCAAGAGGATTCTGAAGCAGATTTTAAAATGAAGAATCTCTTGGGCAAGAAAGAGAAGGGAACTATGGCTGGCAAACCACCTATTGGTCATCTGGGAGTCTCAAGCTTACAAACCAATACCAATTTTTTTTTCCTACATATCAGTGGTTCCAAATAAATCAGTGCTTCCAAAGTGCTAGGTGCCATCTTAGCAAATAAAAATCTCCCAAATTTCTGAAGTGACTTGGACCCTAGGTATACTGACATAAAACTGAAAAGAATAAAAAAGTTTGCTTTCAGTTCTAAGACAAAACTTGAAATAAAATAAGAACATGGTAGCACTGCTCTTTCTTCCACTAAACAGATATTGCTCCCTCTCCTCCCCATACCTGGCTCTCTTTCAGGATGGTGCTATTGTAGTGACGAGATACAGGAAATTGGGCTGGGTTTTGCCTAATTCAAGAAAACAAGCAACACACAAAACTTAAACTTAGAAGATAATTGAATTTGCAAGTTATTGTTTACATTACACTTAGATGATGAAGGTTTCTCTTCACTTTTAAAAGGATTTTAAGAGTTCTTTAAAAGACTATGCTCCCCTGAGACATTTCATACCTGACTTGATTTATTTAACTATTGCTTTCCACCTGAGCCCCTGGAAGCCAAGGACTGCAGCTGAGTCTGCCCACCCTCCAGCCCCTTCTTCCACCCAGCCCCCACCAGCTTTCCCTGCTGGATGATGTGGAACCTGTCAGCATATCCCTTTTTTTGTTTTTGAGGTTTTTTTTTTTTTTTTTTTTTTTTTTGGCGTAATTGAAGTATACCAAATAAAAACTATATACATTGAAGAAGAACAACTTGATGTTTTGATGCACATACACATTGTGAAATAATCACCACAATCAACCATATCCATCAACTCACAGGGTTACCATTTTGAGGGGTATGTGTTTGTGTGTGTGAGAGTGTGTGTGCGAGTCGAGAACACTTAAGAAGCTGTTCCGTGCTCAGTGCCTGCCTTCTTAGCAAATCTCAAGTATTTCAGCGTTGTTAACTATAGTCACGCTGCTGTATCTTAGATCTCCAGAATTTATTCATCCCGCAGAAACGAAACTTTGTACCCTTTGAGCAACATCTCCCCATTTCCCCTAGTCCCAGACCCCGCAACCACCCTTCCACTCTCAGCTTCTGTGAGTTTCACTATTTTAGCTCCCACATGTAAGTGAGATCATACAGTATTTGTCTTTCTGTGCCTGGTTTATTGCACTTAACCTAATGCCCTTCAGATTCATCCATGTCGTCATGGCAGTATTTCCCTTTTTCAAAAGACTGAATAATATTCTGTTGTGTATACATACTGCATTTCTTTTTTTGAAACAAACTGTCACCCTGTCACCCAGGCTGGAGTGCAGTGGCACGATCTCAGCTCACTGCAACCTCCGCCACCCGGGTTCAAGCAATATTCCTGCCTCAACTTCCCAAGAAGCTGGGATTACAGGCATGCACCACCATGCCCGGCTAATTTTTGTATTTTTAGTAGAGACAGGGTTTCTCCATGTTGGCCAGGCCTGTCTCGAACTCCTGGCCTCAAGTGATCTGCCCACCTCAGCCTCCCAAAGTGCTGGGATTACAGGCCTGAGCCACCCCACCCAGTCATACTATATTTTCTTTATCCATTCATCCATCGGTGGACATTTAGGTTGTTTTCACATTTGAAAGTGCTTTCCTTTGTCCCTGCCCCTGCTTCTCCTATTGCCACAGATATTTGACCTTCCTCCTCCATACCCAGGTGACCTCTTCCCATCCTCTGTGCCCTACTGTGTCCCTTCACCTATCCAAATCCTTTCCAGTTCAACCCAGACTTGGATGGAGGGGCCTCTTCTCTGAACTTCCAGTAACTTTCTAGGGTCTGATGTCACTTGCCCTGAAGTCACATACTTTGCCCTATGGCTTTGCTATCTGCACCTACACATCTATCTTTCCCCAACACACTCTCCAGAAAGCCATTTCCATCATATGCCCCACAGCAGCAATGCAATGATTCAACAGATTCATTGCATGAATAGATTCATTCTCAGGGGATTGCAGTAAGTTCGTTCCTCTCATTTTCCTTTTGGGAGCTTTGCATACATATATCAGTCTCCACTTGAAATAAGTGAATTTCTTACCTTTTAAGGGTCATTGCTGGCCTCAGGGAAGCACTCAGAGTGATCAGGCTACCAGATAATCGACATGATTATTTGGAGAGGTTGTGTGACGTGCACAGACTAGAAAGCTAGAAAATCCAATTATGTCACTCTCCTGCCCCTAATGAATTGTGAGGTCTGGGGTATTGTGGTTCTTCTCTGGCCTGTGCTTTGATGACAGTTTCTCTCGATTCTTGGTAGTAAACCATATGAGGATCAGCTAAAACAGCTAAAAGCATCAGCAACGTCAGCATATTCTGAAGAGTATTATTAATCCTTTGCCCTGTCCTCCTAAAATATTCCTCTGATCCTTATATTTTCTAGTACAAATGACAGGAGGCATCTCTATCTTATTTATAGCTCTAAATAAATTGGTATGAGCATCAACCAAACATATTTATTTTATTTCCCAAGAAATATACCCCCAGAAAATGTCAAGGAAATGATCTTTGAAAAATGCACATCCAAATGCAATATGAAATATTTAAGGGAATCGCTGTGCTCTTGGCTTCCATTTTCTGTTAGATTATTCTACAGGCTCTTGTAAAAGTCAAGTCAGTGCTTTTAAAGGCAGAATGTGGCCGCGAGTTAAGAAAAGCCTTCAAAGCCCCTGGGTTCTTGATTTCGCTTTTACTTTCAGCATTTTGCCTTGAATGAACGACCTCAAATACCTTAGATATTCAAAAATTGATGAATGGTACTTAGCAAGGTAAAACTCACATAAAGATGATGATAACTAAGTCAGCCACCAGTGGCCTGAAAATTCATGGCAGCATTTGCTGCTTCTTGGAGAGGCATCTCTTCATGACACTTTCAGTGGGCTCTTACCATCCATCCACCATCCCAAAATCCTCTGCAATTGAAGGAATATCTCCCACACTGGCCTGTGGTGTTAAACCAGCAAATCACATTGGGTCAGCAAAAAAGAACTTAAGAATAGAAGTTTATTCTTTAAATATCCCCCTAAATCCATTCAGTTGAGTTGGCTGGGGAGCAAATACTCACATAGATTAATGCATTTAATCCTCCAACAACTCTGTAAGCAAGTACTATCTTACTCCCATTCCAACATAAATAAATGGAAGCAGAGAGAGTTGGAATAATTGGCTCAGCAGTCACATAGCCAGGAAGTGACCAAGCCAGAGTGGGACTCAGCTGGCCCCAGGGCCTGGGTGTCCAGGCCCCATGCTACACTGTCCCCACCAATATCATCACTCCACATGTGCTGATATGAAAATTTTGGTGAACTGAAGGTTATCAAATTCACTAGTAAATTGCATTGGTACAAATGGCTATGGCCTAGAGAAGAAGGGTAAAGCCCATAAGAAATGAAGACTTGCTCAGGATCTATAAAAGTGACCCAGGGGATGAGAGCCCCCAGGAAAACATGGCAAGACCAAATCCTGTTGTCTAAGCAGGCAAGGGAGGCCTCTACAGACAAACCTGAAGAAAGATCCACTGCTTAGGCAGCACCCTGTCACAGCTCTGGGATGGTCAGTTGGGGGCTGCTATGAAGGACAAGCCTGGACAACAGTTTTGGACAGCTGTAGACAGTCTAAATCCAACATACATACAGCCACCTCGACAGACTATCTCTGGTTAGCTGGGTAACTGAGGCTTCTATGCCAAGACCTTCCACACTGGCTTATCATTGGACCACTGAAGTCAATATCTCTGCACTCACTAACTATCGACCTTGAGAAAATTTAGAACTTCTTGGGGCCACAGTTTCCTTATCTGAAAGATGGGGCTAAGAAGACAGCTCCACTGGATTATTACGAGGAGTAGATGAGACAACCCAGAAAAGGGGTCTTATTAGCATAAGGTACTTGGAACAGTGATGTGCCCCACATAACAGCTGCTGCTGTTAGCCCTGAGGTCACCTACAGCAGCAAAGGGAGCTGCAGGCACAGCCTCCATTCACCCTTTACCATCTTTTGTTAACTGCCTTGTCTAGACTTCACTTTTAAATACTCCAGATATACAGTGTCATATGAAGTGTGCTGCGGGCATCCTCACTGAGAATTCAGAGCCCGTGGTAGACCCTGAAGTTCCAGTCAGGAGCCCAGACATGAGGCAGCTACTATGAGCACTCTTGTTATTTACAAAGCTCTATTGAACATCAAAAATGGTTTCATATCAGAAACATCAGAAATGAGCTATAATTGGTGACATTAAAGATATTCGAACCATATGATGTGTTAGTCCATTTCAGCTACCATAACAACATACGTTAGACTGGGTAATTTATAAACAACAGAAATTTATTGCTCACAGTTCTAGACGCTGGGAAGTTCAAGATCAAGATGCTGGCAGATTCAGTGTCTGGTGAGGGCCTGTCTGGCATAATCGGTGCCTTGTTGCTGCAGAAAAGGTCAAATAGCTCCCTCAGGCCTCTTTTATAAGAGTATGCATCCCATCCATGAGAGCTCCACCCTCAGGACCTCATCACCTCCCAAGGGCCCCACCTGTTGCTCCTACTGCATTTGAGATCAGGTTTCGACATGTTAATTCTGGGGAGAGGACATCAACAGTCAAACCGTAGCATAAGGATTTGTTAAAATATTCAAGAAATCTTCCCTACCCTTTGCAAGAAGAATCTAATGATGCCCAGACCCTTTTCCTTGGTGGAGATGTGCTATATAGCCTTCTAAAATAGCCTAATAGGCTACTATATAAGGACTTTAGGTCCTTAAACTTGGAGGATCTTGTATGCCTGATGCCATCTCTAGGGGTGACAGGATCTGCTTTCACAGCCTTGGCACTGCCTTCTGGCTCCCTCTGTTCAGCGGAACTCTGAGCACCTAAGAGACAAGGAGCTGGACTTCATTAAGCTTACAGCACAGGTTGATGAGCACTTTGGGGCCTGCCAGCAAATTAATGCTCCTTTAATAAGTGTTTTTTTGTGGCTGGAGCTGCTTTGAGAGTTGCTGTCATAAAAATTGAGGAGCAAAGAGTCAAGGGACGAGCCAGCCTTCACCTGCTTCAAACTTCCTTAGCTGCTTCTTGAACCTACCAAAAAGAAACCAAGTTGTGTACGTGGCCAAATTGGCTTGGGTACATGACCAATTGACTTTGTCAGTGTGCCTGTGCTGTAAGCTTTAGAAAGGAAGATGCAAGACAAGTTTCCTCTGCTCCGTAGTAGCCTCTCAGGCTAAAGACAGCTGTAGCTACCCCCACAGAGTAGCAGGCAAAAGCCACCAAGGTCAGCAGATCACAGTCAAGGTCATACCATGAGGAGGTGGACAGGAAGAGAAAAGATTCAAGTAAGTAGTTGTTTCTCCCTGTTTGCCCTGAACATTAAGCGGCCAACATGAAATAAGTTCTTTTTCTCTCCCCACAGCAAATATAATCCAAAATCCCCATTAGAGGCAAACAGGAGTATCTGAATTCAGACTTCCAGGTTCCTGGTTTGGAGAAGGGCAGCATAGGTCTTCACCAAAATCCAGCTTTGGGATTTCCTGGACTTTAAGGATGCTTGCTTCAACCAAATCCCCTGGGTGGCCCCTTTATATTGAAGAACCTGTCTTTGACTCCGTCCTGACCTGCTCTCCTTATACTGGGAAGTGTGTATATAAACGTACCATTTCATGAAAATAGCACGTGTCACCAAATGAGGGTTCCAGAGAGTCAGCATCGTGCATTCATCCAAGAACATTCGCCTGAGAAACCCTGGCCACCATCTGCCAGAAACCTGAGACCAAGAGCTCACGGAAAACAGAAACTGCTGCCCTGTTCAGCCTCTGTAAAGTGCTCAGTAATGCCAACTGTTCAACAGGCTCAGAAGACTATAACATGGGGTATGGACACAGGTGAGGACATCTCTGTCATTTGAGCAAATTTCCAAATCCCAAATCCTGAGCAGAAGTGCGGAGCTGAACGTGCAAAATGTGCATGTCAGTTGATCAGGAGGAAAATGCACTTCCTCTGTTTAGATTCTCTGAAAATGACCTCAAAAGACATGAGCTTAGTTAGAGCTCAGCGATGCTCATTGCCACAGCAAGAAAGCTCAGACTCAGTACAGCAGCTTAACAGCAAGAAGTCTCTTTGTTCATGGAGTCTGGTGGGCCAGTGGTGCTCCTACGTCCCGCAGCCATATGTACCATCTGGGACAAGTGTCGGGTGAGGTTGCCACAGCCAGAGGAGAGAGGACGAGAGGGTCACTCAGGACAGTTTTAAGAGCTGCGCTTAATCACTTTTGCCCACACCTCTGGCCAGCCCCATCACTCATCCTGCCTGTAAGGAAGCCCAGGAAATGTGGGGGATCCCACAGGTAAGCAGGGAACCCACAGGTAAGCAGGAAGATGTTATAGTCTTTACCCCAAGAGGTAAGCTGCTCTGGATGTGATGTGTGTACAGGACCTGTCACAAAGCCCTGAGCCCCAAATCCTCCTCCCTGCTCACATCCTCGCCTGCCAGAGATTCCTTCTCTGTAGGATAAGAGACATTTGGGAATTTATGATACTCCTTCTGGACTAGACACGCCACCTGGAATGGACAAAACGTGTTTTCATAATTAATACCATTTCAAGGTGCTGACATGTGAGCAGGAATGATAAAACTCTAGAAATTCCTCATGGCCAATGTCAGAGTCCAGGAGGTACAGGTGAGTTACGAAAGTCAAGAAGAGGTAGACTGAGAGCAGAAAACGAGTATGAGCCCAAGTCAGGGTCAAGAAAAGGAATGAGCTGCTAAGCCCTCAGGGTGGTGGCAGGTGGCGGAGAGATGGCAAGAAGCTGTGGGAGGTGAGCACAGGGCCGGGAGCAGGGAAGAAGCAACAGAAGGGAGAAGAAGCACAAGGTGGCCAGAGGCACAGCAAGAAGGGGCCACCTACTGATCTGAGCAAAGGTCCTTGAGCATCATTACTGAGGACCCAATGGAGGACTTCGGAGGACCACGGGTGAATGGGAGGTGAGGGAGGCCTCCAACCAGAAATTGAGAGACCCCCAAGTACGTGGGCTCTACTCGAACTCCTCTGACCTCCCATAAGCTGAGCCCTGCCCACCGAGGCCAATTCCTGAGCCAGTCCACACCCCACTGCCTTCCCTGGTCTCCATGAATTTGACCCTTTTTTTGCCCAAAAGAAAAAGAATAATAACCTACCAGAATCCTCCTTCTTAGCTAGTTCCTGCGTTCCTGGTTCTGGCCTGGTCCACCCTCTGTTCTGGTATCATCCACAACCTGCCATGAGAATGAGGTTTATTTTATTTATTTGTTTATTTATTTATTTATATTTGATTGCCTAGGGTACGGGTCTTAAGCCTGACCTTTCCAAAAATGTTCCTTTCCTCAGTCCGGGATCTTGAATTTTTCTTAAACCACTTCAAGAAAGTGGTCTGTTTCCTGTTCTGCCTATATTACTATACATATTAAAGACAGTCCTGATTCTCAGCATGAGAACATTTATCTCTATAGGTCACCTTTTCAAAAAGGTTAAAGCAATTGAAAGAAGCCTTTTCCTTGATATCAAAGCCATAGACTTAGATGATTTTTTAAGCCTAAGAAAGCCCATTCTAAAAAATAAAAAAAAATAAAAATACAAAAGAAGTATTTCCTAAAAAGAAAAATACCTGCTGATTTTTCTTAGCCCAGAAAATTATTAGTTCACAAGGTGAATTTCCCCATGAATAAACTCAAACATGGATGGGGAAATAAATCATTTGACTATCTACACTTTTTTCTTTGTGACAGTCATCTTGTTGAAAAAGGCCATTATTTTTTGTGCTAACGGAAGTGCCTTGCTAGGTAAAATGTATACACTATCTAAAATGTATAGAAAGATTCATCTTTCCAGTGCATTTACTTCTGTTAGCTAATAAATTCCAGTAGAAGTGCTACAAATTACATTACAGGTATAAATACCAGCATGTCAACGGTGTGACTATTAAGAAACATGACTTGAGTTCACCCTTCAATGACCTTGACATTATCTTGGTCCCTCCTGCCTGCATCTACTACGCCAAATAAACCACCACTTGGTAACCACATGTTCCAGAGTTTCTATCTTTTTTTTTTCCCTACACTATATGTTTTTTAAAATGTTTTTTTAAAGCGGTCCTCTTTTATTTTGGAAAATGTGTCCATCAGAGCTACAGCCAGGTCTGGTATCAGCTCTCCCTGCCTGCAGCCATCCCACCGGGCACGTGCCCATTGCTATAACAGCTGTTAAGTGACTTAAACAGACCTCCGGCTACAGCTGCTTTAGCACCCATTTCCGCCCTCTGCTCCCCTCTTCTCCTTGATCCCCTCCAGCCTGGCTTCCACATCCAATGCTCCATTTGGACGGCTCATTCAAGATCACCAGGGACCTTCATGTCCTCACAGGCATGGAAGGTTTGGAGTCATTATCCTGAAAACAGCCAGTGGCAGGACAGTGCATCTCACTCCCTCTTTCTCCAACTTACTCTTACTTTCTTGGATGCCACCTCCCTCTGGTTTGGCTTCTGCCACTCCAGCCCCTCCTCTGGAAGCTCCTCCCGCAAACCTGTCCTTGAACATTTTGTTTCTCAGAGCTCTTCTCTTCTGCCTCCCCTACACAGCCTTATCAACCGTGACTCTCAAACAATCATCTCTTGGGGTCAGTAAACAACTCTGAGTGAATGTCCCTCAGGAAGCTCAAACTCTGTGTCCAAAATGGTACTCGACATCATTCTGGAATATTATTCATGTTCTTCCAGCTGCTACTGAAGAAACCAGCACCCTGTCTAGTGCACCCTGGAAATGGTACCCAAAACGTTTGACTTGCCCAGGCAAAAATGTGAACATCTTCCTTGCCACCTCCCTCCTATTTCGCTTCAAGTAAGTGCCCTGCATTCTGCCTCTTCAGCATATGAGTTTGCTTTGGCCACTGCCATCCTCACCACGCTGCTCCGAAGGCCTCTCTTGCCCCTCCCAGCCCATCAGCCTCAATGACCTCCATGCCCTAGTTGGTTTTCCTCCAATCTCACCTCAATGCTGCAGCTGGACTGAACTTCCCAGAACTTAAATCTGATCTGTCACTCCACTGCTTTAAGACTTTTAAAGTCTTCAATATTTTTTAGGGTCTTTATGAATGAAATCTGAACTCTTAACTAACTCAGACACTCCCAGTAGAGGGCCCTGTCTACTTCTGTAGCCTCATCTCTCTGCTCTTCTCCTGGCATCTCTGATGTGCAGGACCACACCCCACTACCCTCTCGCTCTCCTCCAAATTTTACACAAGCTGCTCCATCTGCCTCAAACAATGCTGCTTGCTCTGCACCCCATCTCCTGACACACACTCATTCAGGTGCCCCCATGTGACCATCTCCCACTACCCCTCCAGTTGTGGTTGAAGAAATATTTCACTTTGGAAGAATTTTCCTGACCTCATGGCTGAGATGGGTCTTCCTGTGGTGGGTTCCCTGGGCACCTTTGCTCCCCCATCAACATAATCATCATACCTTAATTTTTTCCAGAATTGTATTTTTTTCACACTAAACCTTAAGAACTACTTTGGCCGCAGAGCTACTTTGATTCATTCCCCACTATATCTCCGGGACAAAACAGACACTGGCTAAGAGTAGGCACTAAATAAATATTGAACAAATAGAAGAAGGAATGAATGAAAAGGGAGATTAAATCTCACCTCCTCCATAAAGCCTGACACGTTACTTCAGCCCACACGAGGGTCTCTCCAGCCTAGCACCATCAGTATTGTGAGCAGGACAATTGTTTGTTTTGTAAGCCTGTCCTGTGCGTTGCAGGACGTTTAACAGCATCCTTCAATACCAGCAGCACAAGCCTCCCTGCAAGCTGTGACCATCAGAAGTATTTCCAGATGGTGAGCCATGAGACGTGAGAACCACTGGCCCTCACCGGCCCCCCTCCCTTCTCTGACCCTCTTCACTGCCCCTTGCAGTCATCACCATCCGTTATCACATGGTTTTTCTTTGCCGGAGCCATGTACAAGTAGTCTTGTCACCCCAAAAGAAGAAAATCCTCCTTGAAAACAGGGTTCTGTCCTCTTGGCATCCCCTGTAACACCTCATGCAGGACTGATTGTAGCCAACGGGATTGGCATGTGTGGCCCTCTGTCAAAAGGAGGGGACAACTAGATGGCCACGTTGTAGGTGAAATTCTGACTCTCCAGCCTAAGTCTATCCTTTCTATCCAAATATCCTTAACATCTCAACACTGGAAAACGGCCTTATCAGCAAGCTGCTACTGAAGTCTTGATCGAATACAGTGCTGTTCTGTGTGCTTCGGAAAGAGGATTTAAAACATCGCAGAGTGAATAATCTCTTCATCTGGAATTCATTAAACTCTCATTTTCTAAAAATTCAACAAAGTCAGCTGAACTCATAGCAAGCTGCCCACGCCTCAGTGGCCACTCCCTTGAAATGCGGCTTCCTCCCGGTAACTCAGTTTCACCACCTGGCACATTCAGGACATAACCAAAGGAACTGAAGCCAATTTGCCCTTGACCCTGTAGCATGACATCTGACTTCCCTTAAACTATCTTAGATGTCTCTCCTGCTCTTTAAATAAATTATGATGATAATTAATATCAGCCCAAAAAATCAATGGTTAAAAATGAATTATTTATATTAAATATTTAGCAAGTGTTCATATACTAAAGGCAATTTAGCATTGTAGTGGTCCTTAAAAAGAATCCAAACATGCCATTTCCTATCATTAGAAAGATACGTTTGTATTTAGAAAATCTCTTGATAAATAAATGTGCACACAGTAAAAACAGAGAGGGAAAAAACACAGTTTACGCTTATCATGTGCATAGTCTCAAACCTACAATAAGTCAGTAACTTCAACAAAGCCTTTTCTGTGAGTTCAGCCACGCAGAAAGAACACCTCCCAAAGTCGTTACTCTGCTCTGAGCCTGTTTCTGCCACAGTGACCCTATGTGCTTGAGAACATTTTCCTGTACATCTCCCTGGCCCTCAGTTTACTCATGTTTAAAATGGGGAGAAAGGGCCAGGCACAATAGCTCATGCCTGTAATCCCAGCACTGTGGGAGGCCAAGGCAGGAGGATCACTTGAGCCTAGGAGTTCAAGACCAGCCTGGGTAGCATAGGGAGACTCCATCTCTACAAAAAAATAATAATTATTAAAAAATCAGCTGGACATGGTGGTGCATGCCTGGGGTCCCAGTCACTCAGGAGGTTGAGGCAGGAGGCTCACTTGAGCCAAAGAGTTGAAGCTACAGTGATCCATGATGTGCCACTGCACTCCAGCCAGGTAACAGAGCAAGACCCTGTCTCTGAAAATAAATAAATAAAATAAAATAAATAAAGTGAAGAGAAAAATTCCACATGAAAACCAAAGTCCCTTTTGGAACTAAAATTTCATAGTTTTAAGCAAATCCCATGACATTCTTAATTTTAACTCCAAAATGACTTTTCTGCTCCTTATTAATTGACAAGTGACAAACATAAAATTGGTAAAATCATACCTACACTGTCCTGGAATTAAATGGCACAAAAGAAAAAGCCATGATTTTGGCATAGGGACAATTTTCCTGGACTCAGAAGTTAGCAATGAGGGGCTTACACAGAAATATTTACATAGCAGAAAGCTCTGGATCGGCAGACTTAAAAGAAAATATGCAGACATTCAGAAATAAAGGATGACAGAAAATCAGGTTTCAAGACAGAAGTAAGCAGTAACCGTGAAACTCAGAGAATACATCCCCAAGAAAGGAGCTGGCACCATCTTTGTCGTTCTCTTTCATGTGGTCGTTCCAAATTCAGGAATTCACTTTGGTAAACCTTCTCTTGGAGGGTTTCCTCCCTTTCCCAACTCTCTCCAATGAGCATGGAAAATGACCACAGACAAACCTGAGCGTCTGTATTATAGAAGCAAGAAGTAGAAAATGCACTAATGAGCCAACCGATGGATCAACTCCACATTTCTACAGTTATTAAAGCAGCGATATCAGTCAAGGCTCCTATACAGGAAGCAGAAACCACTCTAGCTATTTTAAGCAGAACAAGACAACGCAGGGAACTAAGTACCTATAAAATTGTCAGAAGGGTTGGAAGAGTGAGCTAGGCCTCCAGGAATAACTGCCAGAACCAGGGGCCAAACTGACCCTCAGAGGCCAGTTAGAAATAGAGGAGTTAAAAGTCCAGCCCTAGTACAACTCGCCACAGGGAATATTGGCTCCTCCTGCTCCAAGCTGGGGACAGAAATCACAATGCTGAGCTCCTCTTCCTTCAAACGAGCGATGCCCAAACACTGCACTGGCTGCCAACACTGCTGTGAAGTCCGCACCATCCAGCAGCTAAACCCTGTCATCTCCATGACCCTACTTGACAGCAGCAACAGCCAAAGCAGAAGAATGAGGGTCCCTCTGAACCTGCACTTCCAAATCTCAGCAAGCTGCCTCTGAAGGCTAGAACCCAATTCACATTCATAACCAGAGTTGCAAGGGAGACTGGTAATGTGACATTTAGCCTCTAGACTCTGCGGTACAGGAAAGCTCATTAGCTAACGGAAAGAAGCTGGAATACACGTTGAGTTCCAGTCCATCATATCCACCAGAGTTGAGATGGAAGACACAAGTAAAGTCCCCCATAAGATCCTAAAAACAGTAACAAAGCTACTGTTCAACAAATCTCAACCAAGTTATAAGACTTCTCCAGGTCAATTTTTATCACTTTACCTCAATGAAGACATAACATTTTGGGATCAATATTTTATAGATTTGCATATACTATAAAAGTCTTAGCTCTTATATACTCCCTGTACAATGTTTATTTTCCATAAGATGAAGAAGTGATAAAATAGAGGGAAGTCTGTGACTTTATTCACTCACTTACATATTTACCAGCCTGCTATTAATATTAGATTCCAGGTGCTGGACCAGCCATGGAGATGCCAAGGAGGAGGACTCATGGGTTAAGATCACTGGCTTTAGCAGGAATCACGTCCAGTGTAAGTCCCATTTCTGCCACTTACCAGCTATGTGATCTTGGGCAAGTTCTTCACCTGTTCTATGACTCAGTTTATCCACTTATCAAGTAAGAATAATGATACACTCTTTAGGAGGCTGTCACCTAAGGGTTAACTGAGATAATATGTATTGCTTTTAGTACAGTGATTTGACCATATATTAGTCAGGGTTCTGCAGAGAAACAGAACCAATAGACTATACGTACAAATATGTATACAGAGAGATATTTATTTTAAGGAACTAGATGATACAATTGTGGGAGCTGGCTAGTCTAAAATTCACAGGATAGGGTGGGAAGCTGGAGATCCAGGAAAGAGCTGATCTGGCAGCTTGAGTCTGAAGGCAGTCTGGTGACAGATTCCCTCTTTCTCTGGGAGGTCTGTCTTTTCTCAAGATCTTCAGCTGATTGGATGAAGCCCATCCACATTATGGAGGGCAATCTGCTTTAATCTAGGTCTACTGATTTAAATGTTAATCACATCTAAAAAACAGCTTTACAGCAACATCTGGACTTATTTGATCAAATAGCGGGTGTCACGGCCCAGTCAAGTTGACACATAAAATTAACCTTCAGAGTCCATTAAGAGCATTCAGAAAATGATGCTGTTGTGATTAAGCTATAATCAAGGACTTGAAGGAGTTTGCATCTGGTGCTGAAGATAGACAATCACAATGCCGTGTGATCAGTTCTATGAAACAGATGTTTGGGAGACCATGGGTATAGGCAACAGGGTGTATGTAGAAAGCAAAAATGCCAGGGAGGGTTCTGAGAGGTAGGAAAGAAGGCTTATGTTACAGGCTCTAGGATGGCATCTGCTGATGCAGATGTCTCAAGAGTAAGAAGAAAACCCTACGTGGACACCAGAAAGACCAAAGATGTCTAGTTCCCCCTCACCAGGCCTGAGCACATTAGGGTTCCGTGAAACTATCTTCCTTAAATCGGGAGAGTCCCCCCTGGTCTAGGTAGGGGTAAGTATTCAAGGTAGCCACAGGCAGCAGAGGTGGTGATGAACAGTCAGAGTCATGGTCAGGAGGCGGTGAGGTCATGGTCAGGAAAAAAACCAGGGCATTAAGCCCAAGGGAAAGAACAGACACAAGACCACAAGCTTCCAGTCAGGCGATGGGAGAGTCAGCATGGAAAATAAGGAGTGAGGACAGGAGAAGGGAAAGCTTAGAATTCAACTGCAAATGCAAGCTTGCGCAAAACACTGCCCTGCCCCCGCTTCTCCACATTTCCAGTCATGGCATTTCTAGCCAGGTAGCACTAGAGCAGCAGTGGACCATAAAGGACCATGTGGAAATGGACAAGTGGACTCACAGGCCCCTGGTGCCAGCAAATGATTGACCATTGTTGGTACTAGACTTTGACCACTGAAAGAATCCATTTTCCAGTGCACCATGGAAGCACAAAGTCCAGAAGCCAACAGCCTTGTCATGACGCTTTGCCAAGGAGCCATCCTTTCCTAGCCGCCTGGACCCACAACACCCAAGGGCCACAGATGTCCTTATCTCCAGTCATTTCTCCCAGCCTGGTCCATTCTCAATGAGGTTAAGGTTCACATTCAAGCCAAAATTTCCAAATGCATTTCTTATATCCTTGAGCCATAAAAATGGAATGCTTAGTCCAGGTTATGTCCTGGGTGCTCAGAATGTTTTGCTGCCAACTATTTGCCCCAAGTCCCCAAAGGCGTTCCTCCAGAGTGGAGATGCTAATAGGTTTTGAGCGAGTGAAAAACATTTGACAACAAACTGAAACTCGAACATATTGATATCTCCATTACTGACAGCAAGAACCAGAGAGAGACAAGCGGGATTCATCTTGATTGGCATATGGCAACAATAGCCCACAGCCTCCCAGTTCTCCCACAGCCATGTGTGCCGCCAATTGCAAAAGGGAGAAGGATGACAAGCGGATGAAGTCCTTTGAGATTGTTTTCCAACATAAACTGATAAAAAGGCCCACTGGGCATTGATGTTAGAAAGACTCAAGATAGTGAAACCTAAAAAAAAGGGTCTAATGTAACCTCTTTTACCTAACGTCTCCTATATTTTTTACCCTTCTGCAAATGTTAGGTGGGTACTTGAATCATTTAAAGCCATTTCTGTCTTTTCTAAACTTCCAATTATACCACCCACAGCACCAAATGGAAGGGGAATTGTAATCAATTTTGTAACTAAATTCATGTAAAATAAATTTAGACCCAAAGGATCTGAGTAACAAAGCCATTTTATTCAACCAAGAAATCAGATTTTGACAGCCAAAGCTTTTTTTAAAATCGAATCTGTTTTCCAGAGAATTTATTCAAAATGCTCACCAGACACCACCAGGCACTGTAGCAGAACAACAACTAACCCACTGTTCTCATATGGGTATATTTGTAATGGGAAATAACACATTAGACAGATGGTGACATGGGTTATTCTCCCAGCGTGGCCACCAAGGAGCTGTATATCCTAAGAAAGTCACTTCATCTCTAAGCTTTGTTTCCGTACTTCTGAAATAAGGTGCTAAAGTCGATGCAATGATGACCCCTTTCTTCACCCCTCTTGTATGCTCACCCTTTAACAAGTAACTTCGTAATGCCCCCCACTCTGACCCTAGGCTCAGCCACATGATTTTGGTCAACAGAATACAACAGAAACAATGCCCCAGTTCCCAGCCTAGGCTGAGTCCTTGCAGGTTTCTACTTGCTTTCTTGAGCCTCTGCCATTGCCATTGGAAAGACAACCCTGGGTCAGCTGCCTGAACCCTAAGAAGGAAGAGAGACAGGTAGAGCAAAGATGAGTCTCCCAGCTGAGACTCTCCAGCCAAATCCAGTCAACTCTCATTCCACACCAGCAAATACAGCAGAGATCATTAGAGCCGCCCAGCTAAGCCATCCATGAAAATCAGTAACTCAGGATGGATTGTTCTACAACAAAACCTAAGTGCACAGAACAACACCACCCACTCCAACTATCTTACTGGTGTGTTGGGAAGATCAACTGCAAACATGTACATAAAAGCACTTGAGAGACCGCAAATCTGCCTCTCAGCCATGAGGAAGACCACATGCTCTATAACCCATATGCCCTATTCCTGCATCTTGAGTGGTC